CTCTCCCTTGCAGACTGCCAGGTGTCCCGGGCGATATCGGGCGTGCCGGGGAGCACAGGCACCTTGGTGGTGAATAGGTCTAGGGCTCCACCCCGAACTTAGTCATAATAACATCTCTGATTTACTAGGGGCTTGCTCTGGGCCAGGCACCACGTCACGTTGAATGCAGTAACTCTGGGAGGTATTACCCCCATTTTACAGATGAGAAAACTGAGGTTCAAGGACACCCTCCCCCCGTCGTTAAGCCTTTGCTGGAGCGCCTCTTTCTCAAGGAGGCCCATCCCGACCCACCCTGCTTGAAATGGCATTCCACCTCCGTCCTGGCACTCCCAAGCTGCCCAAGGCTGTCCTTCTCCCAGCCCCCACGCACGTTCCGTCTTCTAGCACATGCTACGGACCTCGTGAATCCCATCTATTCCTTAGCGGCTGCCGCATGCTGCTAGAACAGGAATCTTGGCCAGGATTGCTCCCAGATGTGTGTCCCCGGGCACCAGAACAGCGCCTGGCACACAGTGGGTGTCTGATCCATGGAGGTTGAGTGGACAGCGGGTTAAGCAGCTTTCCTGGGTGTCAGTTACCTGGAGATTGCACAGCCTAAGGCCTGAGAACCCAGCCGTGGGGGCCGAGTTTCAGCTTTTGTCACTTCGGCTAGCTGTGCGAGCGTGTGTAACCGACTGTTCCCAGGCCTCGGTTTCTCTGGTAATGAACGAGGCTAACAGCATTCATTTTGTAGGACAGATGTGGCGTGAGGCCTCACGGAGGCACGTGTGTGAAGCTCTCGGCACCCCGCAGGTCAGGCGTCCCAGACGGGGTGACGCCTCTCCCAGAGGAGGTTTTCTTCCCTTCTCGTTCCTCATTCCCCCTCCGATGGCCTTGAGCTTGGGGCCCCTTCCCCATCAACAGTGGTCTCTTAAGAGGACAAGCGGTGCATCATCTGTGCTGTTGACCAGCATGTGCTCTCCTGGCATCCTTCCAGGATGTTGCTATGGAGACATGACATCAGCCCCGGCAGGGCCCAGGCCCCCGGTGGCTGGGGTTCTGGCCACATAGAAGGTGGGGGCCCTGGGAAGTGGAGGAGGGACCCAGCTTGCCTCCAGGGCTGGGAGTCTGGATGAGGGTATCGGTCTGGAATCTGCTGGAAAAACTCGGCTGGCTCTCTGTGAAAGCAAAGCGTCCTGTCCCCCGTCTCATGGGGCTCTTGGAAGCTGGAACGGAGCCCCTGCCCAGGCTGAGGTCTGGCGGGCTGGTCTGGGTGCGATGCCCAGACCCTGGGAGGGGGCCATAGCAGCCAGAGTGACACATGACCAAACTCCTGGCCCTCAGAATGGCACCTTCCCAGAGCAGGGCTGGCCACCGTGGAGATGCACCGCCCTCTTCCTGCAGGCTTGAACGACCAGGGCAGGACGGCCTTTGACCCTGGGCAGCACGGGAGACCATGGCTTGTGCACACACCAGCTAACCCACCCAGACCAAAGGCTGGGGTGGGAGCGGGGAGTGAGACTGGAAGCCAGACGCCCGGAGTCCCCCCGCTGCCTTTGTCTGTTCCAGCTGTTGGGCCCCAGACAAGCCACTTAGCTTATCTAAAAACTGGGGGTGACGACAGCAATTTCCTCTTGGGATTCTTGTGAGGATTAAACGAGCTGATTCTTGTGAAGAGTTTAGATCCGACCCGACACGCTGAGCCCACCGCATGTAAGCTATCATTGCCATTTTAAGTGGGGCATTCTTATGCAGAGGGTGTATTCTTGGACAGAATACAAAATGGTATTATTATTATTATTATTATTATTTGGCTCTTCTGGACAAATGAGAAGTTCTGGAACACAGGCTTGCCTTCCTGCCCAGCCAGAGTGAGTTGCGGCTGCCCGTTCTGATGGGGTCCCGGCCAACCCATGCACAATCCCTCCCAGGCCCATTTCATTAGGTGCCTGATCCTAAAAACAGCTACAGATTCAAGTCCAGATAAGCCAACAAAGACGTCAGGAGCCGGATGGGGGCAGGGGACAGAGAAAATGCAGATTTGTCTGTGCTCAGGAGGGGAAGGTTAGGGTTCGGGTCTCCCTGGTTCTCAGAGAAAGAGGCACAGAAGGAAGGGGGTTTGGAATGCTGATCTGGCCAGCTTGGGGGGGGGGGCTCTGCACCTGCACACCTGTGGCTGGTCTAGTGCAGAACAGCAGAGGCACTGAATTTGAGCACCTGCTCAGAAAGCCGGGCCTCCCGGCCGATGGGAGGGCCTGTGGGGGCCGGGCCATGTTGCGTTGGCTCCGTACCCACTTGTCCTCTGTATCCGTTTATTTCTTTCAGCACAGGCATCTTGGCGAGCAGGGGACTTGACCTCCTCATGGGAGGGACCCTGTCACATTCCTCATGGGAGGGACCTAGTGCTTGTGAAACAGGAGAGTCTTGATAAATGCTTGCTGAATTAATATATGAATGGAGAATGAATGCAGAGAGCTTGCTATCTGGTACAGCCACCCAATAATTCAGCAAGGCTTTTTAGAAAGACTCTCAGTTCCACTTCCATCCCAGGCATTTGGCTCTTCCACTGGCTGGAGGGACGGTAGTGTAGGGGTGGCAACCATGTTACCTTCACTGGATGCCCAGAGCCTAGCTCAGTGCCTGGCACACAGTAGGTGTTCAACTAATATTGCCCTCACTTATCCTGTATGCCCAGGGCCTAGCTCAGTGCTGGGCCCACAGTAGGTACTCAACCAATATTACCTTCACTTACCACTGTATGCCCAGGGCCTGGCACACAGTAGGTGTTCAACCAATATTACTTTCACTTATCCCTGTATTTCCAGAGTCTACCTCAGTGCCTGGCACACAGTAGGCGCTCAACCAATATTACCTTCACTTACCATTGTATGCCCACGGCCTGGCACACAGTTGGCACTCAACCAATATTACCTTCACTTACTCCTATATACTCAGAGCCTAGCTCAGTGCCTGACACACAGTAGGCACTCAACCAATATTACCTTCACTTGCCCCTGTATGCCCAGAGCCTAGCTCAGTGCTTGACACATAGTAGGTGCTTAACAAATATTTGTTGAATGACTGAATGAAACAAACAGAAACCTCTTTACCCTGGAGTCCAAATGCTGTAGTTGTGCTCTTAACTGTTGGGGGCAGTTAGAACTCCTCTTAGTACCTCACCTGACCCCGCCCACCAAGCGGGGTAATGGGACGCCCTGTAATAGAAGTCTCCAAGTGCAGGACGCACGGTATTGTCTGTGAGGCATCCCCTGAAGTCTGCTGTCACCCTGCACCTCCCGATGTCCTTGCGGGCTGTGTCCTGGTGGTCCCGTCCCTCCTTCCTTGTGCTGCTGTGCGTGGCCAACCAACGGGCACCGTTATCTTGTCATTTTACTGCTCTCAGAGCCATGCCTCTGAGGGCTTTGGGGTTTGCTTATCTCACTATCCTAGATCCACTTGTTCCCCTTAAGAAAGGCAGAGGCTGCTTCCCGAACAGCTGGGAAGAGCTGCCTGACACCCCCTGACAAGAGGGTGTGGTGAGAAGGGCTCTGGCCCTGACCTGGGGACCGGCTGGCTCTGTGACCTTGGGCAGCGTGACCCCTCCATCTCTCTCAGCCTCCTCTCCGGAGCCCTTTCAGACGTCAATTACGCAGGGGTGGGCTTTCCCGAAGTGGAGTGATTTTTAAGGAAATGGTAGCTGTTTTCATTTTAAAACTTTTCATTTAAGCTCCTGTTCTGAGCGTCGAAATGGCGCTGGCTACAAGGAAGTCATACTTTGTGATTTATTGGGGGTATTATTATGTTATCAGAAAATGGTAGTTCTTTTGCTAAATATGTTTTTAAAGGGCTTGCTGCATTCTTAAGTGTGATTTTATTATATCTCGCAGCGACTTTTTTCCCCCATGAAGAATAGATCTGTGTTTTATAACAAGCTTCACCACCGAGGCTGGTCAGGAATGTATTCCGTGGCGCTACATCACCCCCAAAGGGTGCTCTGGTGGCAGAGACTTCCGTTTTTGCAAGCGTGTCGTGGAGACCAAGTAACAAGGTTCTTTCCAGAACTGGAGTAACCCGAGACTCTCCATGCCTGTGTCCAACCACACACTGAGGGGTCTCAGAGAGGCAGGTGCCCTTAGAGACCCACCAGTCCAAGCCCCTTGTTTATATTCAGGAAACTGAGACCCGGAGTGGAGACGTGACCTCCCCCAGGCAAAAGGCCCGGTGTACCCTCTCCATGTCTGCCCCTTCCTCATCCCACACCCCTCCCCCGGGCCAAACCCTGGTCCCCCCAAGCGGGAACACCGTTGCACACACCCAAGCCACAGCTCGTGCCCGGGGGTGATATCCGTGCCCCGTATCACGACCTGCTTCCCAAGCACTCCAAGGTGGAGGGGCTGCCAGTTGAGCATTCCAACCAGGACCTACTAGGCCCAGACATTTTCTTCCCCCCACCAGCTAGGTGCTAATATCTAGCAGAGAGTTTACTGGCAGAACTTCTCCAGAAAAGAGACTGGAAGACTTAGTGAGTTCAGACTTTTGACATTTCTTTTTTTATCAAGAATCCCAAGGAGCGACCCTCTCCCCTCCCCTCATCACCAGCAACCCCAAGAAGTCTTTCTCTAGCACAGGAAGCCAGAGTGCACACAGCAGAAACAGCACAGGCCAAACCAGCAGGCAAGGATACATTATTGAATCAACCGGCAAGCAACCACCTGGAGCCATCTTTGTTAAGGGTAAAATAAACAGCTCATGAGACATTAGGGGCTACGAGGCTATCTTGATGCTTCCGAAGGAGTGAGGGAGGCTGGACGGGGTCCTGGGGAGACTTTCCTTTTCTCTTTTCTCAGAAAACATGCCAAGAAAGGCTTTGCAAACAACTAGGGCCGCATCAGTAGCCCCCAAACCTCCCTTTCCAAAGATGGCCACCCCCAGCTGTCCATTCAGAGGGCGCCTGCAGCAGAGTCTACTGGGCATGGCGAGAGAGACGGGCAGCGGGAGAGAGATTTAGTTTTCCACAAAGGTTGGGAGCTTTGTTTTGTTTTGTTTTCCTTTATTGATGGGATTTAAAGTGCATATAACTGAAGGCAAAGTCCAAGGCCTAGAGAGAGATAGGAAGCCCGAGAGAGAGGCTCAGAGATCGCAAAGGCGGCTGAAGAATACCCACCTAAAAAGGCCACTTGCGCTGCAGGAGGAGGGGCGGGGAGACAGGACGGGGAAGAGAGAAGGGGCGGGGTGAGGGGGAGGAAGGAGTTTGGGAGGAAGAAGATAATGACCAGTTCAGAAACGCAGCCAACGATGACTCTAGGAGCTAGCTTACATCCCAGGAGGAAAGGATGGGCTGGCGTCAAGGCAGGGAGATTTGTTTTAGGACATGTAGGAGGCAGGACCCCGGGGGCCCTTCAGGTGATGGTGGCGATGGGGGGGCTTCTCCCAGCTTGTGTCCCGGTCTTCCCTGGAGACCCAACGTGCGTCTAAGGAGACCTTCTCCAGCCGGGAGAAGGCAGGGTGGGGGGCCTGGACCCGGGGCCTGCCCAGAGCTCCCCCTTCCCTGTGCTCCCGGCCACGCGGGGACCCCACTCACCCACGCAGGCCGTGCCGTCCTCGTTGGGCTCGAAGCCGCGGCTGCACTTCTTGTTGGTCCGACACCGGTAGCTCCCGTAGGTGTTGACGCACACGGGCTTGTCCCGCGGACACACAAAGGGGAACTGGATGCACTCGTTGGTGTCTGCAAGGCATGGGGGCCATCAGCCGCTGCCCGCCCACCCCCCGTGTGGCCTTGGGAATGTCCCCTCCTCTCTGAGCATCAGGTTCCTTACTCCGGGTTGTTGGCCGGCTCCTCCTGCATTTGACCTTTGGCGTGTTGAGGGGCGCTCGGGCTGGGTCCTGGGCCCTCTCTCCCACCCCCTACAGTTTCTCTAAGCGATCTCTTCACACCGGATGAGTCCAAGCTTCCCATCTCCGGTCACAGCCTGTCCCCTGGGCTCTGGACTCAGGAATCCAACGACACACACGTCTGACCTGACAGTTCCATGTGGGTGTCTAGCGGGCACCTCAAGCGTCACGTGTCCGAAACGGAACTCCAGATGTCCCCCGCCCTGACACCTCTTCCGTCCTCTGTTCCCGTCTTTCCCAGCTCAGTCAACGTCCTCACCATCCCTCATCTGCTCAAGGGGACACCGGCGCGAACCCCAGCCTCCCTTCCTTACCCCGTATGCAGTTTCTTCGCAGTCTGTTCCTTTGCCCTCGTGGCCCCCCACTCGGCTGTCACCTCTCACTCCTCTGTCACCGCCCCGTTCCCAGCCACCGCCGTCCTTCCTGCCCCCTCTGCAAATCAGCGGCCAGAACAATCTTTTAAACCCACGGATGGCATGGTGCCACTCTCCTGCTGATCCCTCAAGGGCCCTGGGACCGAAAACCCAGACTCCAGCTGCAGCCTCTCGGCCCTCCTTGACTCCGCCCTGCCTCCTGTCCTGCGCTGCCGGGAAAGCTGGCCTCCTTCCGGCCTCGATGCCCCCAGCCCATGGCCTGCCTCCTGTTCTTGGCTCCGACCCCTCCCTCTGGAGGGAAAGTTCTCCCCAGCTCCTTCTGGGTCTGGGCCCCCCTCACCCTTCAGGTCTGGCGCTAAGACCCTCCCGGGGCCCTGCCCCTCTGTCTAGAACAGCCTCCAAAGAGCACCTTGTGCACAGGGTCCATAAGTCATCCTGTCCGGCTCACAGTCCCGTGTTTGGGGTCTGTCTCCCTCCGCTAGAATGGGCGTCCCTGGGCGGCGGGGCACCTGGCCTGTGTCCCCAGCCCCCAGCAAGATGCTCGGGGTGCAGGAAACACGTAAGTGCCTGTTGGATGATGACAAGCAAGAGGGGGCTGCACTGGTGGTCTCAAAGTGTCCTTCTGGTGTGCAGAGAAGATTCTGGAATTTCCATGTGCCTGCACTGTCTGTTGGGGCGGGGCCAGGGCGTGGAGAGTGTTGGGGAGTATCTCCTCCTTGGGTCCCTCTAAGTCCCCGCCCCTCCCCCTCCTCACCTGCGAGCCGTGCCCCCCTCCCCCCCAGACACTGTCTCCCCTCTCGGTTTTGTCCAACGCCTCTTTATCCCTCAGGTCACAGTGAGAACCTCCCTTTCTCTGGGGCCCCTTCTAAGACCCTCCTAGGCTGGAGTAGGCTCCTGTGGCCCCTGTCCTGGCCTTGATGGCACTGTGTGGTCATGGACTATTTCCATGTCTCCCTGGGTGCCAGGCCTGTGTCTGTCTCATTGACTCTTGTGCCTCAGCGGCAAAGGCTCGAACTCGGGCTGGTGGGTGGCTGGAAAGTGGACTTGGGGGATGGCTTGCCTGGGGGCGCTCAGGAGGGAGGAGCTGTGACCCCAGGATGGAAGGTACTGGGTTCGAGGTCTTCTGAACACTGAGCCTTCTGGCTGCCCTCCCCTTCCAGGCCCGGGGGACTTGCAGAAAGCCCCTGGACCCGCATGGGCTGCCATCCTAGCCGCGCCACCATCCGCCCCATCTGCTACCGGCTGCCCTCTTCCTTCCACAGGGTGACCACACGCCACGCCTTGTTCTGCCCAAGTGCCCCCGGCCGTGCCCACCCTTGCCTGCCCCGCTGGCCGGCCACCCCATGGGGCCGTTCCTCGGACCACAGAGGCCCCGGCGTCCAGGTGGTGATGTGGTTTGTATTCGCGGCAGGAAAGCACTGCAGTGATTCAGCCCGCGGGTCACGAATGTCCCTCTCACCTCAGTGAGTCATGTGGCGGTTGTCTTGGCACCCAGAGTCCAGGGGACAAACACCACCTTCCCCTCCCCGCCTTTCCGCCCCTTGTCTGCAGCCTGGACCCAGCCATGGGCCAGGCTGACGTGCCCCATCCCCTGGCGCCTGCGGGCAACTCACCGGTGCAGTGGCCGCTTTCCTGCTGGGAGAATCCTTGGCCGCACTGCAGGGAGGGTGGGGGAGAGAGGGCCCTATTTCAGGTTTTCCTCGTTGCGGCCACAGAGCCGCTGTCCCCATGACCCCAGCGTGAGGGGTGCTCTTAGCGCCAGGCCTGCGGGGGGCCTCCCTTGCAGGATCCCTCCCTTGGCACCAAAAGTCGAAATCTGGGTGGGGGCAGGCCACGGATGGACGCAGCCCAACCCCTGCTCCCTGCACTTGGAGCCAGGTGCCTCTGCTGGGACACCTGAGAGGGCCGGTCCCCTCTGTGTCCTTGTCCCAGACCGGGACTGGAGTTGCAGGGCAGAGCAAAACTTGGGTTGGGAGAGGCTTCCAGGTCCTGCCCACACCCCATGTTCCGAGAACCCCCATGGGCTGTCCCAGCTCTCGGGCATGGACAGAGAGTGGTGGACATCCCAGCAGGAGGAAGGGACCACAGCCTTTCCTTCGGGAATCTGAACCCGGCTGGGCTCGGTGGCTCAGCCTGTCATCCCGCACCTTTGGGAGGCTGAGGTGAGTGGATGGCCTGAGCCTGCGGGTTCGAGACCCGCCTGGGCAGCGAAACCTCATCTCTATAATAAATCAAAAAATCAGCTGGGCGTGGTAGCGCACACCTGTAGTTCCAGCTACTCGGAAGGCTGAGGCAGAAGGATCGCCAGAGCCCAGCAGGACGAGGCTGCGGTGGCCGGGGGCGGCCACTGCACTCCAGTCTGGGTGACAGAGTGAGACTCTGACTCAAAAAAAAAAGAGAATCTGAACTCATCAACCCAGAGACAGAGAGGCGGCGGCTGGCCACACAGGCTGGGTAGGCTCTGCTGAGTTCATACGGGGGTCTCAGACACAGCAGCCTGGGGCGGGCGGGGTCCTTGAGACATAACACACAAGGCAGGGCATATCCCCCGGGCGCCCCCACGAAGGAGGGCTGGTGGAGAGTACTGGGGAGGGGCAGTCCCCCTCCCAACACCATCGCAGCCGTGACAAAGGCCCTTGAGCTCTGAGGTGAGGCTACCACGGGTCACGGTTTCCGCCCGTCCAGAGCCTCCCCTTGGGTTTTGGGAGTGGCCCCAGAACCTCCTCGTAAGCCCCCGCTTTTGTGTGAGTCTAAATGAGGGGGTTCCTGTTACTTGTCACCAAGTGAACCCATCAGAGCTGGAAGGACACACCGTAGATGGGCCCACAATTCAAGGAGCCCTCAAAGGTCCTGTGGGGGGTGCGGGCCCCACCCTAGGGCCACAGGCGGCCTTGCCAGAGACTCAGAAAGAGCCAGGAGGGAGGCAGGAGGCCGGGGTTGCTCCACGCTCTGTTCACGACTGGCTGTGCAGCCTCGGGGGTTCCCCGCTCTTGGCCTTGGGTTTCCTCCTCTGCAAAATGGGTGCAAAAACCCTCACCCTGCTGATGCACTAGGGTGTCTGTGAAGAGCAGGAGAGATGTGGGTGTGCCAATGACATGCAACCTACAAATGGGATCGCGATGGAGCCTTCGCTTTGCCAAGAAGACCTCCGTCCCTCTAGGGGCCGCGTCTGCGGGGCTGTGGGTAGTGCCGGCTTCTCTGGGAATAAGGCCCAGAGGCCTCTGCCCACCTCCAGTGGGGCTGGGTCCTGGGGCGTGTCCTCATCCCGGGGGTAGGGAATCTCCAGCACCGAGTTCATCTCCCCGCTGGCCACGTTCCGGCTCGCCATCTTGCCGTCCGGCCATGTCACCTCCACGCTGCTGCCCTCGTCCTTCCCTGTGACAGAAGGGGACGGCGTCACCAGCAGAGGCCAGCGGGGGGCTCCCAGGCAAAGTATCGGCAGACACGTATTCCTTCGTTGAGCAAAACACATGGACCGAACACAGAACAGCCATGAGGGTTCTGCTCTGCCCAGGATGGCGGCCACCAGCCACAGGTGGCTCTTGGGCTCTTCAAGCGGATTCGAGGGTGACCGAGGGACTGAATTTGACATTTCATTGCATGCCGATGAACGTCCATGCAAGTAGCCACGCCAGGTCGGTGGCTGCCCTATGGAACAGCACGGCACTAGGACTGACATTTGAGGAGTCAGGCCAAGCAGCGTGAGGCCGTGCGTGGGGAGACGGCAGGCCTGGCGGTGAGTAGGTGGACGCTGGCGTCTAGGGTTCAAATCTTGGCTTTGATACGTGCCTGGTGTGTTGGAAAGGACCTGGGGGGAGGGGGCCGGACACTGAGGGCAAGTCTCAGCTGTGCGGCTAACTTGGTCATCCTGGCACTCTCTTGGTGGCCTCAAACTTCTGGCCTCAAGCATCCTCCGGCCTCAGCCTCCCGAGTAGCTGGAACGACAGGTACACCCCACCTAGCCCGGCTAATTTGTCCAAGTTTTTGTTTAGAGCTCAGCTCAGACGCCTCCCTCCCAAAAGGCTGCCCCTGAGCACCCTGACTACAAAAGACCACAGTTCCTTCTTACCTCACTGCCCTATTTTTGTCAATATCTGACATGATTTGCTTGTTGTTCCATGTGCCTGTCAGGCTCCATGAGGGGTCAGGCTCTCTTCTGTCCCCGGGGGCGTGCTTGTTCCCAGGGGGCTCCTACTCTAGATGGGGAGACGACAGGCGCACAGAGCAACAAACGAATCATGTCAGTTATTGACAAAAATAGGGCAGTGGGGTAAGGAGGAACTGTGGTCTTTTGTAGTCAGGGTGCTCAGGGGCAGCCTTTTGGGAGGGAGGCGTCTGAGCTGAGCTCTAAACAAAAACTTGGACAAATTAGCCGGGCTAGGTGGGGTGTACCTGTCGTTCCAGCTACTCGGGAGGCTGAGGCCGGAGGATGCTTGAGGCCAGAAGTTTGAGGCCAGCCCAGGCAACACCGTGAAATCCCATCTCTAAAAAGTTTTTTTTAAATACCTGGGGCCCGAGTATGGTGGCTCATGCCTGTAATCCCAGAGCTTTGGGAGGCCGAGGTGGGAGAATCACTTGAGCCCAGGAGTTCAAGACCAGCCTGGGCAACAGAGCAGGGCTTCGACAAAAAAATTCAAAAGGTTGCTGGGCATTGTGGCACACACCTGTAGTCCCAGCTACTCAGGAGGCTGAGGCCGGAGGATTGCCTGAACCCAGGAGGTTGAGGCTGCAGTGAGCCATGAGCGGGCCACTGCACTCCAGCCTGGGCGGCAGAGTGAGACCCCGACTCAAAAAACAAAACAAAGCAAAACATAACATCTGGAAAAGATGGTGTGGTGAGGACCCGGCAGGGAGAAAGACCCTACCACGAGCTGAGAGGGTCCCAGGAGGTGATGGGTAGGCTGAAGACAGGGAATCCGCTCACACATCCTGAAAGCAGCTCCTGACATGACTGGCACAAGCAGGCTGGAAAGATTTGTCAGGTGTTTAGGCACTGTCACCGCCTGCCCCAGTTCCCTGCTCACGGAAACAGGCCCGTCACCGTGGCAAGGTCAGGCTAATAGTGACGGATGGGTGGGCAGAGGCGGGGGCTGGGCCTCCCCTGCGGGAGAGGCCGCTCTCAGGGCCAGCCACCTGGGGCCGGACAGAGCCCCGCCAGGCAGGGGAGTGCGGCCCCCTCTCCATCACCCCACCAGGGCTGACCAGGGGCCGGGGGCACGGAGTCCTGTGGGGTCCCTCAAGCCCACAACCTCCCTAAGCATCAGTCCTGGGCTGAATGCCTAACGCACCACACCACGGACCCACTCGTGCACGTAGATTCCGCCAGAAAACAAACGGAAGAGTGAGGCTCGGTGGCTCAGCCTGTCATCCCAGCACTTTGGGAGGCCGAGGTGAGTGGATTGCCTGAGCCCGGAGGTTGGAGACCAGCCCGGGCAACTTGGTGAGACCTCGTCTCTACAGTAAATCAAAATAAATACAGTAAATCAAAATGGGCATGGCAGCGTGCGCTGCCTGTGGCTCCAGCTACTTGGAAGGCTGAGGCGGAAGGATCGCCGGAGCCCAGCGGGTCAACACTGGGGTGGCCGTGAGTGTGCCACTGCACCCCAGCCTGGGCGATGGAGTGAGACTCCGACTCAAAAAAAAAAGTGTGGCTGGGTGTGTACCAGCCTTTGGTTGTCACCATCCACCAGTGGGTTTTACAGTGAGAGACATGAGGCTGGAGGAGGTTGGGGCTGGGAACAGTGGCTTGCGCCTGCAATCTCAGACTTAGGAGGCTGAGGCGGGAGGATCGCTTGAGACCAGGAGTTCGAGACCGGCCTGGGCAACATAGCGAGACCCTGTCTCTAGAAAACAAAAAGGGGGTTGGAAGCCCCAGAAAGATTTTGGGGACCAGTTGTGTGTAATCTCTTCTGTGCAGAGAGGCCTTTGGGGGGGTGTCGGGGGAGAGAGTTGAGGTTCTGGGAAGCACCCCGCTGCCTCTCTCTCCCTGAATCCCAGGATGTGGAGGCTTCCAGAAGAGGCCACCTCTTGCCGCCACTTCACGGGCTTCCCGAGTTTCCCCATGTCTGGTTCCCTGGGGCTCTCCCCACGGGTCTCCAGGGGGCTCTCATGGAATGTTCCAGCCTCGCTGCTGCTGTGCTGCGAGTCAGCCAGGAAAGGGGACTGCCAGCCACACGCTGAAGGGTCCAGGGAGGAGCCACCCCTGTCCCGTGACATGGTAGGCAGCGATGACGGGAGAGGCTTGCAGGAGAGAAACTCAGACTCGGGTCAGTTTCTCCTCCCGTGAAGAAACCCTGTCCCTTCCAGGCCCAACCTTACCGTTCCAGGTCATGCTTTTATTTATTTATTTATTTATTTTTGAGTCAGGGTCTCACTCTGCCACCCAGGCTGGAGTGCAGCAGCACGGTCATGGCTCACTGCAGCCTCGACCTCCTAGGCTCAGGAGATCCTCCTGCCTCGGCCTCCCGAGCAGCTGGGACTACAGGTGTGCATCCACACCCTGCTAATTTTTTGATTTTTTTTTTTGGTAGAGATGAGGACTCATCATGTTGCCTAGGCTGGTCTCAAACTCCTGGCTTCAAGCGATCCTCCTACCCTGGCCCTCCCAAAGTGCTGGGATTACAGGCATGAGCCACCACACCGGGTTCCCGGTCGCGCTTTATCAAGCCCGAAATTACTTCTCGGCCATCCCTCCTCCTCCTCTTCCCCATTTGGGGAAGGCGCATGGCAGTGGAACTGGGGATTGCAGATTTTTTTTTTCTGTTTTGGAGTAGAAGATTGAGGTGCCAGAGAGCTGACGTTTTGGGGGTGTACCGTGTCCACGTTAAGTGGCACATGTATAAAGGAAACGTTTTCCGTGAAAAATCCAGACAGAGCCACACCAACATTTCTCGCCCAGGCCCCCAGAGCAGTGATATGGATACTTCTCCCAGCCGACTGGAGAGCCACGCATCACTCAGAAGAGTCCCCACCAGTCACTGACAGCCACGGGCCACACCCTGCCCTGCCGCCTCTGGTCCTGGGCCCTGGCCTCCCTCCTCTGACCCAGAGCCGGGATGGGGCCGTGGACACTCTCTACCGCTGGTGACATGGCTGGCTTGGACATTGCCTCTGGGTCTCAGTCTCTCCCTCTGTGAGATGGGGGTGCAGGCCTTGCCCTAACACTTCCGGGGAGAGCAGTCCTTCTTCTCTGGAACCTGAGCCCTGTCCTGCCAGGTAAGCCCTCCCGCCACCATCAGCTCTTGGTCTCCCTGCAGCGTCCCAAGGGCCTTCACGTGTCGGCGATAACAGTGAACACATGCCCCAGATGACACCCAGGGCCACGAGGTGCTGACACATTGGAGCCGTACACCTCTGTGAGGAAGGACCACTTTGATAATTTCCACCTTGATTTTTTAAAAATGTATTTTTTTTAGACACAGAGTTTTGCTCTGTTGCTGCAGTGCAGTGGTGAGATCATAGTTCACAGCGGCCTCGACTTCCTGGGCTCAGGGATCCTCTTGCCTCAGCCTCCTGAGTAGCTGGGACTATAGGAACACACCCGGTTAAATTTTTTTTTTTTTTTTTTAGTTGGAGTCTCACTCTGTCACCCAGACTGGAGTGCAGTGGCCGCTCCCGGCCACCGCAGCCTCGACCTCCTGGGCTCTGGCGATCCTTCCGCCTCAGCCTTCCAAGTA